TGGATTTTTAATTTTTTCATATTCTAATTTTTTGATTTAAAAAAAATAAATTTTAGATTTTTCTACTCTTCGATTGCTTGATATTTCAGTTTTTCAATTCTTCAATTGGTTGACATTTTAATTTTGGCTTTTTCAATTTTTCAACTTTTCGATTTTAGGATTTATAGAAATTTCGATGTTTCGATTTTTTTATTGTTCAATTTCCCGATTTTTCGATTTTTTGACTTTCCAAATTTTCGACTTCTCCAATATTCGATGTTTTTTTTTGACTTTTCGAATTTTTGATTTTTCGATTTCTCGATTTTTCAGGTTTCCGAATGACCAATGTTTTGATTTTTTGATGTTTAGATTTTTCAATTTTTCGATTTTTCATTTTTTAACATTAACATTTTTTGATTTTTTTTAAATTTAGACTTCTGGATCTTTGGATTTTTCGACTTTTCAGTCCTTCGATTTTTTTGTTTCTCAATGGTTCGAATTTTTAAATTTTCCAATTTTTCAGTTTTTAATTTTTCGATTTTTCAATTTTATTCTATTTCGCTTTCTCGGTGTTTCAATTTTTCGATTTTTTGGTTTCTCGGTTTTTCGATTGTTCGAATTTTCGTCTTTTCGATTTTTCGACTTTTTAATTTATGATTTCTTAGTTTTTCAACATTTCAATTTTGGAAATTTTGCAATTTCTGGATTTTTTTGATCTTTCGATTGCTCGATTTTTCAATTTCTCAACTTTTCGATTTTTGGATTTATGGAAGTTTCTGTTTCGATTTTTTTATTGTTCAACTTCACGATTGTTCAATTTTTGGAGTTTCTAAATTTTCGACTTTTCCAATCTTCGATTTTTTTTTTGAGTTTTCGAATATTTGATTTTCTCGATTTCTCGATTTTTCAGGTTTTCGAATGATCAAAGTCTCGATTTATTGATGTTTAGATTTTTCTCAATTTTTCGATTTTTTAATTTTTTAGTTCTTCGATTTTTCTGTTTCTTAATTTTTCGAATTTTTAAATTTTATATTTTTGAATTTTGTGATGTTTCGATTTCTCGATCTTTCGATTTTTCGCCTTCTCGGATTTAGGTTTTTTGAATATTTTATTTTTAAATTTTTCAGTTTTTAATTTTTCGATTATTCAATTTTATTCTATTTCGCTTTCTCGGTGTTTCAATTTTTCGATTTTTTGGTTTCTCGGTTTTTCGATTGTTCCAATTTTCGTCTTTTCGATTTTTCGACTTTTTTATTTGTGATTTCTGAGTTTTTCAACACTTCTATTTCGGAAATTTTGCAATTTCTGGATTTTTTTGGTCTTTCGATTGCTCGATTTTTCAATTTCTCAACTTTTTGATTTTTAGATTTATGGTAATTTCTGTTTCGATTTTATTATTGTTGTTCAATTTCCCGATTTTTCAATTTTTGGAGTTTCTAAATTTTCGACTTTTCCAATATTTGTTTTTTTTGAGTTTTCGAATTTTTGATTTTCTCGATTTCTCGATTTTTCAGGTTTTCGAATGATCAATGTTTGGATTTTTTGATGTTTAGATTTCTCTCAATTTTTCGATTTTTAAATTTTTTTACAATAAAATTTTTGATTTTTTTAAAATTTAGACTTCTGGATGTTTGGATTTTTCAGTTCTTCGATTTTTCTGTTTCCCAATTTTTCGAATTTTTTAATTTTATATTTTTGAATTTTGTGATGTTTTGATTTCTCGATCTTTCGATTATTCGCATTCTTGAATTTAGTCGATTATTCAATTTTATTCTATTTCGCTTTCTCGGTGTTTCAATTTTTCGATTTTTTTGGTTTCTCGGTTTTTCCATTGTTCGAATTTTCGTCTTTTCGATTTTTCGACTTTTTAATTTATGATTTCTTGGTTTTTCAACATTTCAATTTTGAAAATTTTGCAATTTCTGAATTTTTTTGATCATGCGATTGCTCGATTTCTCAATTTCCCAACTTTTCGATTTTTGGATTTATGGAAATTTCTGTTTCGATTTTTTGATTGTTCAATTTCCCGATTTTTCAATTTTTGGAGTTTCAAAATTTTCGACTTTTCCAATATTCGATTTTTTTGAGTTTTCCGATTTTTGATTTTCCCGATTTCTCGATTTTTCACGTTTTCGAATGACCAATGTTTCGATTTTTTTCAATTTTTCGATTTTTGAATTTTTTAACATTAAAATTTTTGATTTTTTTTAAATTTACACTTCTGGATTTTTGGATTTTTCGGTTCTTCGATTTTTCTGTTTCTCAATTTTTCGAATTTTTAAATTTTATATTTTTGAATTTTGTGATGTTTCGATTTCTCGATCTTTCGATTTTTCGCCTTCTTGGATTTAGATTTTTTGAATATTTTTATTTTTCAGTTTTTAATTTTTCGATTATTTAATTTTATTCTATTTCGTTTTCCCGGTGTTTCCATTTTATCAATGTTTCGATTTTTTGGATTCTCGGTTTTTCGACTTTTTAATTGATCAATTTCTTACTTTTTAAACATTTAAATTTTGGAAATTTTTCAATTTCTGGATTTTTTTTTTATATTTTAATTTTTCGATTTTTTTTTTTGGATTTTCGATTGCTCGATTTTACAATTTTTCGATTCTTCAATTCGTTGGTATTCGAATTTCTCGACTTTCTAATTTTGGATTCTTCAATTTTTTAACTCTTTTTCGATTTTTGGATTTATGGAAATTGCTCAATTTCCCCATTTTTCAATTTTTGGCATTTCTAAAATTTCGACTTATCCAATACTCGATGTTTCTTTGACTTTTCGACGTTTTGATTTTTAGATTTTTTGATTTTCTCGATTTCTCGACTTTTCGAAGTTTCGATTGCTCGACGCTTTGATTTCTCGTTTTTTTCAGGTTTTCGATTTTTTGATGTTTCGATTTTTGGATTTTAGTTGTTCGATTATTCTGTTTCTCAATTTCTCGATCTTTAGATTTTTCGACTTTTCGGATTTAGATTTATCGATGCTTCGATTTTATGCTATTTCGCTTTCTCGATTTTTCGGTTTTTGGACTTTTCACTTTATCGATCTTTCAATTTTTTGATGTTTCGACTTTTCATTTTTTCGATTTCCCAATTTTTCGAGATTTCAGTTTTGGGTTTTCAGATTTTCAGTTTTTCGATTATTCAATTTTTCGATTTGTAAATTTTTCAACATTTCAATTTCTGAAATTTTTTGATCTTTCGATTGCTCGATTTTTCAATTTTTCAACTTTTCGATTTTTGGATTTATGGAAATTTCGATGTTTCGATTTCTGGATTGTCCAAAATCCCGATTTTTTCCAATATTCGATTTTTTTGGATTTTTTGATTTTTCGATTTTTTGATTTTCTCGACGTCTTGATGTCTCGATTTTTCTCATTTTCGAATGATCATTTTTTCGATTTTTAATGTCTGGATTATTTATTTTTTTAACATTTTAATTTTTTTAATTTTTAAATTTTAGACATTTGTATTTCTGGATTTGTTCAATTTTTTAGTCCTTTGATTTTTCTGTTTCTTTTTTTTCGATTTTTTAAATTTTAAATTTTTGAATTTCCGATCTTTCGATTTTTTGACTTCTCGGATTTAGATTTAGAGATTTTTTAATTTTAAATTTTCCATTTTCGAGTTTCTAATTTTGGATTTTTAAATTCTTCAACTTTTCGATTTTTTGATTGTTCAATTTGCCGATTTTTCGATTTTTCAATTTTTTGATTTTGCCATTTATGGATTTTTTTCATAAATGGCAAAATATAATTATTTTTCGATTTCTCGATGTATCAATTTTTCGACGTTTCGATTTTTGGACTTTTCGGCTTTGGGTTTTTCAATTTCTCGATTTTTCAGTTTATCGATTCTTCAATTTTTCGATTTCGCGACATCTTGATTTTTTGAATTTTTAAATTTTTCAATTTTGTGATTTTTCAATTTGTGGGTTTTTCAATTTTTCTGTACCTACTTCAATTTTTCGATTTTTAAAATTTTAGTTTTTCGACTTTTCGTATATCAACATATCGGTTTTTAAATTTTGGTATTTCTACTTTTCTGATTTAGATTTTTCGATTTTTCACATTTTTTTAAATAATTTTTCAAAGAAATTGGTGTTCCAAAAAACCACAAAATCGAGTTGGAAAGTGGACACTTTCCACTTTCCAACCTCTAAATTCCAGGCAACAACAGTTTTTTTTTTGTAATTCCGCGTAAAACGTTAATCGACAGAGAAAATTTAATTTTGTTGCGTTATTGCGCAGACAGTGATGGAAACTTTTTTAATAAAATATGCGATTATTTCCATGGCAAACCGCCGAACCGTTATCGACCCAGCACTTTTGTGACGCATTTTTGTTATTTGTCTTTGCTAATTTGTTGAAATGTTGCATACCGCAACCCTTCCGAATCCATTTTCAAAGGTCGACTACCTTTAATCCAGCTGTAATTTAATTTCCTTTGAGTCATTTTTTCACGTAATGGTCTTTTTACAAAGGCGGAATGTCCTTCAACCCGTGTGGTATTTGGACTTTGTTTTCCATGTGTATTTATTTACTTCTGTTTTTTATTTGCTGTTAGCATAAATCCGTTTTGTGTTATTTTTCGTCCTTCAAGTACTTTTATTAAACGTCTTTTACCTTCAATAGCATTTTTTACAAACGGAAAGTCGGTATTAACATTCTTCTGAAAAAAAATCATAAAGTTAAACGAAGTTTTATATAATTCCATATCAAATGTACGATTCGAGCTCCGAATTTAGATCGAGGAAACTGATTAAAACACAAACACGAAAATCGTTTGGCAAAAAAACTTCCTCCGCCCCCACACTCGCGTATTTAAATATCTTTGATCACACTTAATCCACTAGTAGCGACATCGTTTTTGTCAACCCTTTTCTCTAGAGCATTGTTACACGTAGTTTATGCAGATTTAGCCGGCGATTATATGGTTGAAGGGTCTTTTAGGTCGTCTAGACAAATTTATTACCCCCATCCAATTACCAAAAAACTTTCCATCAACACAGTACTTACATGAATCGAGTCCTGTTAGATTCCGCGTCTAAAAAAAAACACACAATTAGCGCCGCCAGTCGAAAAGTCTGGCGTATTTTTCCATAAAAGTAAGAGCTGGCGCAAGCAAAAAAGCCCGAAACAAATAGCACAAAACTCCGAAATCAGCAACACCTCTTTTATAGCATTGTGCTTTTAGGATAATGAAACTCGAAGAATGATGTTTTGGGCTGCTGGTTCCGCGCCACCGAGGATAGTTTTGTAAAAGCCATATCACCGTGTCGACCACTTTGTAAAACTCTTTTATGCAATTCCATGGAACTAATTCAATTATTTTTACTTAACAGTGCTGAAGGCGAGCTGTTGCTTAAACGTAACACTTATAGAATAGAAAAAGTGGGCGTACAAGCGTGAAACAGGCGTATGTATTGTAATTAAATTAAAAGCCTCGTTTACACTGTCGTAATGTGTCGGTCTTAATTCGAGCATCCGAGTGTACTTAATTAGGCACTCTTTCAAGAATTTCGGAGTTCTGAAAGGGTTAAATAGTACGTAACGAAATTAAGGGTTCAAATGTTTATGAGCTCCACCTTTTAATCCTAGCGACATGAATAAGCTCACAGTTTTATTAACGGAGAAATCCGTAAAAATCCCCCTGCGGAATTATCCGTGTGAATAACCCAAGGTTGGTAAAACTGGAACAACTATCTTAATAAGGTTACTCGATTTCATTAGTGCCTTGACGTATTATGTCTTTACATAAATCTCTCTATTCTTTAAAAATAATGTACTCCTCCATTTGTGGTTTATGAATCCGTGTTGGAATGGAATTCTTTCCTAGAGATTGAGATTTTTGGAAAGAAAATGTAAATTGTGTAACAGTTTTTCGAATTTTTTCAATATTCCAACATTTTGATCTTTCATTTACTTGATTCTTCAATTTTTCGATTTTTCAATTTCCCGATTTTCAAATTTTCGATTTGTCCATATTTCAATTGTGGGATTTTTCGATTCATCAATTTCTCGGTTAATCGATTTTTCGATTTTTCCATTACGAGTATTTCCTGATTTTTCAGTTTTTCAATTCTTCATTTTTTGGATTTTTCCATTTTCCAGGTTTTTGATTTATCATTTTTTCGATATTTCTTTTTGGGATTTTTCGATATTTCGATTTATCAATTTTTCCTTTTTGATGCTTCGATTCCTTGATTTTTCAATTTTTCGATTCTTCAATTTCTCAACATTAAGTTTTTGACTTTTTGAATTTTAGATTTTTCGATTTCTTGATTTATCAATTTTTCGATTTTGTCGAATTTTCAGTTTTTCAATTTTTCGGTTTTCTGATTTTTCTAGATTTCAAAGTTTTCATTTGGCGATTGTTTAAATTCCCAATTTTTTGAGTTTTCAATTTTTGATTTTTCGATTTATCGATTTTTTTTAATTTGAAATTTTCCAATTTTTCAATTTCTAATTTTCTGATTTTTCAATTTTACGCTATTTCATTTGTCGACTTTTCGATTTTTTGATGTTCGATTTCGCGGTGTTTCAATTTTTCAATGTTTCGACGTTTCAGTTGTTCGAGTTCAGTTTTGGATTTCAATCTCTTCATTTTTCAGTTCTTTGATGTTTTTCTTAATTTTTCGAATTTTTAAATTTTAGTTTTTTGACTTTTTCGACTTCTCGGATTTAGATATTGCGGTTTTTCAACTTTTCTATTTTTGACTCTTCGATTTCTAGATCTTACAATTTTCCAACTTTTCAGTTGGTTTTTCGATGTTTCGGTTTTACGATTTTTCAATGTTTCGGTATTTCAGTTTTGAGATTATTCAATACTTCTACTCTTCGATTTTTCAAGTTTCGTTCTTTTGATTTCTCGATTTTTCGAGTTTTTAATTTCTCGATTTTCCAATTTTTCAATTTCTCGATGACACAATTTTTTCATATTTCAGTTTTGAGATTTTTCAGTTTTTGAACTTCTCGATTGTTCCAATTTTCGATTTCTTTCTTCAATTTTTCGATTTTAAAATGTTTCCATTTTTGAAATTTTCGATTTTTTGCGTTTAAAAGTTTTCGATTTGTCAGTTTTTCGAATTTTCGATTTCCTATTTCTCGAGTTTTCGACTTTTTCATGTTTCGATATTCGATTTTTCAATTTTTCAATTCGTCAATTTTTCGATTGCGGGATCTTTCACTTTTCCGACTTCTCACTTAGTTTTTCGATGTTTTAGTTTTACGATTTTTCAATTTTTTGATATTTCAGTTTTGGGATTTTTCAGTATTTCTATTCTTCAAGTTTACAACTTTTCACATATTGATTTCTCGATTTTTCAGGTTTCTGGTTTTCAATTTATGATTTGATTCTTTAAATTTTCAATTTTTCGATCTTTCGGTTTTTGGATTTTTCAATTTTTCCATGTTTCAGTTTAGGGATTTTTCAATTTTTCAACTTTCCATTTTTTCGATTTCTCAATTTTGCGATTTTTCAGTTTTTTGATTTTTGGTGTTTCGATTTTTCACGTTTTTGAGTTTTGGTGTTTCGATTTTTCCTGTTTTTGATTTTCAATTTCTGATTTGATTCTTTAAATTTTCAATTTTTCGACCTTCCGCTGTCTTGATTTTTCAATATTTCTTCAATTTTTCAATTTTCCGATTTTTGATCTCCGGATTTGTCCAATTTTATCAGTTTTTTGATTTTTGATGTTTTGATTTTTTAGGTTTCTGATTATCAATTTCTGATTTGATTCTTTAAATTTTCAATTTTTGACCTTTCGGTTTCTGAATTTTTCAATTTTTCGGTGTTTCAGCTTTGGGATTTTTCGATATTTCTAGTCTTCAATTTTTCATCTTTTCATTTTTTCGATTTCTCGATTGTTCGATTTTTCAGTTTTTTTATTTTCAATTTCTGGTTTGATTCCTTAAATTTTCAAATTTTCGACTTTCGGTTTCCGGAGTTTTCAATTTTTCGATGTTTTCGTTTTGAGATTTTTCACTTTTTCCATATTTCAGTGTTGGAATTTTTCAGTATTTCTGTTCTTCAATTATCTACTTTTCGTTTTTTCGATTTCTCGATCTTGCAGGTTGATTATTTAAATTTTCAATTTTTCGACCTTTCGCTGTCCGGATTTTTCAATTTTTTGATGATTCATTTTTGGGATTTTCAATTTTTCGATTTTTAATTTTTTCAATTTAAAAGTTAGATTTTTCGATTTTTTCATGTTTAGATCGGTCGATCTCGGGTATTTCGAGATTTAAAATTTTTCAGGTTCCTGATTTTCTATTTTTGATTTGATTCTTTAAATTTTCAGTTTTTCGACCGGATTTCCGGTTTTTTCAATTTTTTGATGTTTCAATTTTAGGATTTTTCAATTTTTCGATATTTCAGTTTTGGGATTTTTCAGTATTTCTATTCTTCAAGTTTGCAACTTTTCACTTATTGATTTCTCGATTTTTCAGTTTTTTGATTTTTGATGGTTCGATTTCTCGATTTTATCAGGTTTCTGGTTTTCAATTTTTGATTTGATTTTTTAAATTTTCAATTTTTCGACCTTTCGGTTTTTGGATTTTTTAATTTTTCAACTTTCCATTTTTTCGATTTCTCGATTTTGCGATTTTTCAGTTTTTTGATTTTTGGTGTTTCGATTTTCAATTTCTGATTTGATTCTTTAAATTTTCAATTTTTGACTTTTCGGTTTCTGAATTTTTCAATTTTTCGGTGTTTCAGCTTTGGGATTTTTCGATATTTCTAGTCTTCAATTTTTCAACTTTTCATTTTTTCGATATTTCAGTTTTTTGATTTTCAATTTCTGGTTTGATTCGTTAAATTTTCAATTTTTCGACTGTCGGTTTCTGGAGTTTTCAATTTTTCGATGTTTTCGTTTTGAGATTTTTCAATTTTTCGATATTTCAGTGTTGGAATTTTTCAGTATTTCTGTTCTTCAATTATCTACTTTTTGTTTTTTCGATTTCTCGATCTTGCAGGTTGATTCTTTAAATTTTCAATTTTTTGATGTTTCATTTTTGGGATTCTCAATTTTTCGATTTTTAATTTTTTCAATTTAAAAGTTAGATTTTTCGATTTTTTCATGTTTAGATTGCTCGATCTCAGGTTTTTCGAGATTTAAAATTTTTCAGGTTCCTGTTTTTCTATTTTTGATTTGATTCTTTAAATTTTCAATTTTTCGACCGGATTTCCGGATTTTTCAATTTTTTGATGTTTCAATTTTAGGATTTTTCAATTTTTCGATATTTCAGCTTTGGGATTTTTCAGTATTTCTATTCTTCAAGTTTGCAACTTTTCACTTATTGATTTCTCGATTTTTCGATTTTTCAGTTTTTTGATTTTTGATGGTTCGATTTCTCGATTTCATCAGGTTTCTGGTTTTCAATTTTTGATTTGATTCTTTAAATTTTCAATTTTTCGACCTTTCGGTTTTTGGATTTTTTAATTTTTCAACTTTTCATTTTTTCGATTTCTCGATTTTGCGATTTTTCAGTTTTTTGATTTTTGGTGTTTCGATTTTTATGTTTTTGATTTTCAATTTCTTATTTGATTCTTTAAATTTTCAATTTTTCGTCCTTCCGCTGTCTTGATTTTTCAATATTTCTTCAATTTTTTAACTTTCCGTTGTTTTGGATCTCTCGATTTGTCTATTTTTCAGTTTTTTGATTTTTGATGGTTCAATTTTTCAGGTTTCTGATTTTCAATTTCTGAATTTTTTAATTTGTCGGTGTTTCAGCTTTGGGATTTTTCGATATTTCTAGTCTTCAATTTTTCATCTTTTCATTTTTTCGATTTCTCGATTGTTCGATTTTTCAGTTTTTTTATTTTCAATTTCTGGTTTGATACCTTAAATTTTCAATTTTTCGACTTTCGGTTTCTGGAGTTTTCAATTTTTCGATACTTTCGTTTTGAGTAGAGATGTACCGACTACAGTCGGCCGACTGTTTATAAATGCAACAGACAGTGTTTTTTTTTTCTATTTCTCTGACTACCTTAAAAACTTGTTTTATTTTAATAAAAGGAATAACTGAAGTTTCTTTTTTTTCCAA